TTTTTTTTACATTTTATTATTATTATTAATTTATTTTATTTTATTTTTTTATTTAAAAAAAAAAAAAAAGGAATTTGCAAACGAAAAAGAAAGAAAAAAGCAGGAAAAATCAAATAGTAATAATAATAATAGTAATAATAGTTAAAATAATTTGTTTGTTTATTTAGAAAATCGATATGAATAATAATGATAATAATAATACTGATAATAGTGATATCATCAAAAAACGATTATTATTAGAATGATATAAAAATAATTAATTATTAATATTTTAGAGAAATTAAAATAATGATAATTGTTTTATTTAGATTTAGACTTGATTATGTCGATTATTATTACTATTATTATTATTATTATTAATATTAATATTATTTGATTATATATATATTATTTATATATATATCGGTAGATCTCAAAATTAATTGACTTAGTAAAATTATTAGAAATTATTATTAAAATTCTGCTGGTAAGAATTTTATGGATTTTTTTTTTTTATTTAAATTTAATTTAAATTTAATTTAAAATTTTTTTTTCGGTTATGATTTACAAAACATGTGATATATAATAATAATAATAATAATAATAATTTTATTAAATAATTGTAAGAATTTTATTATGTGTGTGTGTAAGTGTGGTATGTCGAGTGATGATGTTAAAAGAATTACGTTAAAAGGAAATGATTGGGGGGAGGGGGAGGGAAGGGAAGGGGATGGGAGGAAAATTTGTACATGTACTGTTTGGAATGTGTGGTTTTTTATTATTATTATTATTTTTTTTTTTTTTATGCGAAGGGTTTGTCTTTGTTTTTTTTTTTATATATTTTATGTTTTTTTTTTTTATTATATAAAATATCATCATTATTAATTATAAAATTTACGTAAAAAGGAAAAAAAAAGAAAAAAATGTAGGTGAATTACAAGAAATATATATTTTCAATGTATAAATAATAATAATAATAATAATAATAATAATAATAATAAAATTAATTTGACGATAAATTTAAATTTTTTTAATATTTTTTTTTTGTCTTTGGTTTGTTGTTGAACGAACCCAAAAAATATTATTATTATTTTTTTTTTTTATGTCAATTACGCAATTTATTTATTTAAATAAAATAAGGATTGGTGAGTAAATGCTTAAAACAGGACGTAATAAACAAAATGATGTCATTTATTTAATAATAAAAAAAATAATAATAATAATACAAATATTTTTATTGATTTATCTATATAAAAAACAAATTTTCATTACATTAATAAATTATGTATAAATATATAATCATGCAACGTACAAATATTGTTATCCTATTACAAAAAAAAAATTAACACAAAAAAAACAAACGATAATAATAATAATATTTATTTAAAAAAAAAACAAATATTTATTTTATATATATATATAGAAAAGTAATAGTTTGTAAGTAATAATAATAATAATAATAGTAAAGCAAAGTTAATGGTTTAAAAATTATACGTTTTTAACTAAATTTTTTTTTTGTGTTTTTGTTTATTATTATTATTATTATTATTATTAAAATAATTTTTTAATTTTTATTATGTATAAATCGTATTAATAAATACGATTGATGGGGGGGGGGAAGCGTTTTATTTGTCACTGGTTTAATATTTTTTTTTTAAGTTTATTTATTAATTTATTTTGGTGTTCCAGGATAATAATACATAACTGCTGGAGCTGATAGTTGCCATCTGGCAGCACTTAATTCTATCAACTGGAGCAACGTTTTCCTTATGTTTGGAGCAGTTTGAGCTGTTAAAAATGCATCCCTAACAGCTCCCAAAAGTGCATCCAATTGTTTCGGAAGTTCCTGTTCTAAATCTTTTCCAATGCAGTCAAAACAAAG